CGGCGCTCGACCACCCGCTTACGGGTAATTGGTGGGAGATGCGCAGCGAAAGACGAAAACCGGTCGGCCAAAATGATCGTTCTCTTTTGGAACAGAGTATACCTATCGATGACATGAGAGGCCAAGGGTACGACAATGGTTCAAATATGCGAGGTCAAAATAGTGGCGTTCAAGCTAGAGTGAGAGAAATTAATTCAAGAGCATTTTACGTTCCATGTAATGCCCATTGCTTAAATTTAGTTTTAAACGACGCTGCGAATTGCTGTTTAGATGCCGTTAATTTTTTTGGTTTAATTCAAGAGATTTATGTATTTTTTTCGGGATCAACTCATCGTTGAAACGTATTTAAAAAACATGTTAGTAGTCTTACTCTAAAACCATTAAGTGCAACACGTTGGGAGAGCAGAGTTGACGCTGTTAAAGCCATTCGATTTCAAGTTGGGGAAGTGTATGATTCATTAATAGAAATTGTAGAAGACTTAACACTTGTGAATGCAACTGGAGTAAAATGTCGTGCAGAAGCTAAAAGTATTGCTGAAAAATTAGTTGATTTTAAATTTTTGTGTTGTCTTGTTATTTGGTATGATATATTGTTCGAAATTAACCATACAAGTAAATTACTTCAATCTGTGTCATTGAATATTTCAGAAACTATAACACAATTAAAGAATACAATAATATTTTTGAAAGAATATCGTACAGATGAAGGTTTTCAAAAGACGTTAGGACAAGCTAAGACACTAGCAAATGAACTTCAAATTGAGGCTAACTTTCCTGTCCCAACTCGAATTCGTCGTAGAACTACTCAATTTGCATATGAATCACGAGACGAACCTATTCATGACCCAAAACAAAGTTTTAAAATTAACTTTTTCAATCAGATTTTAGACACTGCTATTCAATCAATCAATGACAGATTTTCACAACTTACAGATCACAGCGATTTATTTTCATTTCTCTATAATATAACTGAAATTTCTGATTTTGATGAACTTATGAAAAATTGTAAAGATTTACAAATAGCACTAACTTCAAGTGATGGATTAAGTACGGATATAGTTGCTGTTGAATTGTATGGTGAAATTATATCTTTGCAAAAACGTTTTACTTTCGAAACGTGTGATCCGAAATCAGTTCTTACGTACATATGTAGAAACAAGTTGATAGAACTTTACCCTAATACTTATGTTATACTAAGGATTCTATTGACTTTACCTGTAACTGCTGCAACAGCCGAGAGGAGTTTCTCAAAGCTTAAAATATTAAAAAATTATTTGCGAACAAATATATCTCAAGACCAATTAGTAGGATTAGCCACTCTATCTATTGAAAGTGAAATTGCTGAAGAATTAGACATGGATGAACTTATACAGAGCTTTGCTTCACTAAAAGCAAGAAAAGTCAATTTTAAATAAAATTAAGTTTGTTTTATTTTATTTTATCAATATTATTATTATAATTTTTATTTCTTAAAATTATGACAAAGGTTTAATTATTTGTAAGGTTAAAAGTGAAAAATATTTTATAAAGCAATAAATATTTGAATATATTATTATGAATTCTTAAAATGTAAATATGTGTACCTACCTAATGAATTTATTATCAGTTATATTATATAACTGTACAAATATGACATTAATATAAAAAATATATAAAAATAACCCAATAGTCCCAACACTAGTTGTTATTCCTTTAAAATAAAAAAATAAAAAAAATTTTCATGTAGGTGTTTATGTCACATAAAAAATAGGGGGAGGGGCTAAGTTTAAATTAGAGCTCAAATTTTTTTAGAGGCGGCAAATTTAGGTTTTGCCTAGTGCACTATTTTTGCTTGAGCCGGCCCTGCTAATGACCTTTGTAGTTTAAGCCTTAATCAAATAATTAATAAAAATAAAGTGGTATTGACTCAAAAGCCAAAAGTTTATAACAATAATCATATAATATAATCTGAGAATACGCCACTGGATATTTTATTCTATCATCTTTATACAACTAAAATAATTAAATAGTAAATGTATTTAGTAATATATACAAATTAATCTTTATTTTACCTATACTGGCTATACTAAACGATGAGTTATATTATAAGTACATTTCTTATTATTTCTTATTAGCAGTTGTAGTACGGTGACACGAATGCATAATATACACCAATAACACAATAAAAGTGCATAATATGCTGTTAGGTTCAAAAATGTTTTTATTTCAAATTAGTTCATATCGAGGGTCTAGTATTGAAGGAACGTATCAACCAATTCCTTAATGTTCAGGAAAGCAATTAAAAATATTTTAATTTATATTTAAATAGATGCGGAAAAAAGAATTTAAAGTTTTGATCTTTTTGTATGTCCTTATTAATTGTTAACTTGTACTTTATCAAAATCTCTACCAATAACAACCAAATTTGTGTTTTTGAACTTATTTAAACTACTTTTCTTTGTACATGTCGGAGATACGTTTCTATGGTCCTAATTCAAATACAATATTTTGGTACTTATCATTTTCTATGTCTTACTTGATTATTACTTTAAATCAGAATATTGTCAACTTGCATGATATTATTGTTTATAATAATTGATATAATATTATGTCAATTATAAACAAATTTAATAAAATTATTATTATTATTATAAAAAGTAATACAATTGTTGTAATTATAACTTTTATTACAATAAAACATACCAATACCTATAAAAAAAGTAATAGGTAAAGAAAATAGAAAAATCAACAAGCTGAAAATTAAAACATCATAGTTACTCTGACTGTATAATAATATAATATAAGCTGTTGTAATTATAACTTTTATTACAATAAGTCTACAAATAAATATTAAAACAACACATATAAAAATGTAATAAAGAAAGATACACTGATATCAACTTAAAAAATCAAACATAACTGTTACTCTGACTTCCTGTCTATAAAAAATAGTGATCTTGTGAAAAACTTTAGTTATTGTAACTTTAATTATAATAAAAAGCAAATAAATAATATAAAAACAATACATATAAAAATTTAATTAAGAAAAATAGTAAAATCAACAAATTTTAACTATTTAATATAATTTTATTTTAATCTTCATCTGAATCAACTTCAGGGTTATCTGAACCACAGTCAAACAAGTTAAAATAAAACTGCTGGTATTGCTCTGGAATAATTCCAGATTCACACAAATTTTTCAAATCTTTTACTCTGGCAGGATCCAGTGGTAAAGGTCCATTTTTATATGCAAATTTCAGATGGTATTTAATAATATTATTAGTTTGTCTTGTCTGTCTAGTGATTGAAAATGACTTATATTCATCATGGTTATTATACTTGAAAAAAACTTTGTTAGGTTCAGATTTTCTATATTGAAAACACACAACTCTGAGCCAATTAATGTTATTTTTTTCATCATCAATTTTTTTATTTTTTATTATGTATTTACGCAAATCCACAAAATCGCCCTGGTTCATTTCCCTAACCTCATAACGTCTTTTTTTTGAAGCTAGCTGAACAACTGTATACCATCCAGATGGATCGTAAATGTTCACATTTTTTGCTGCATTTTCAATATGTGCATGAACAGAATCGCATTCCATAACAGGGATGCCCTGGCTCAAAAAAATGTTGTGTGATCCCTGGTATATCAAATTTGTGTACAGCATACAATAACATAGCACAAAAATTTACATTGCGGTTCTGGCCACCACATGTATCAGAAAACATAAACACAGGCTTATTGTTTGCAATATTTTGTAAATGTAGATACATACATGATGCAATTTCAATACTTCCTCTTTTGGCAATACCTTCATGCCACATGTAATTAATTGCTCTTAAAGAACTAACATTATAAATTGTCAAGTTATAAACTGCTAAACGCCTTTTGTAAAATATTGCTTTGCTCCCACTTTTAGGACAACATCTTACAGCCTCTAAATCAAATTCTAATAAATGACAATTCCCAAGTTTTGCTTCTTCTTTCAAATCATTTTTAAATTTGACGTGCAAGATTTTTTCTTTCTATATGTATATTATGTTCTTCCTGATGTAAAGATTTTTCTGATTCATTATAATTCTGGAACTTGAAACAAGTGTCACACTGATCTTTACGTGGCTTGTGAAAACATATATTAAATTCGGTATTAAACACATGACGATAGAACCAACTTTTTTCTGTTATTGTTTTATTATTCTCACGCTGTGATTTATATAGTTCATACATGATTCCCAAGTTCAAATCTGCTGCTAAATATTTTTTAACTGTATCTTTCCGACAGTAATGTGAAGGTACCCGTGGAAAAGAAGATATGTGTGCCATTACTGCCTCTTTTGAACTATCTGGTCTCTTAGTGGTTGGAGTTTGACATCCCCTTTTATCTTTTGCTATAATATTTGTGGAATCTTTCTTACTAATAACTGTGCGTAAAAATGTTTCAGATACATTAAATGTTTTTCTAAAAAATTCTCTGCACACCTGAATTTCTATATTATTTTTAACAGGTTAACTGCCATGGCTTTTTTTAATGTTTATAACATGTTGCTATGTGTACCATTTCTGGTACATGGCTGAACATTATTATCGAGCCACATGTACCATATAAGGTACATTCGATTCATTGACATTAGTTACACTGTGCGCCAAAATGGGTACACGTAAATGTGATTTTCCTATGAGTTATGTTTGTGTGGCCTCCTAGTAATGTTTTAGTAAAAATAGCGAAACAAATTTATAATTTTTTAACATTTTAATCAATATTTTTATTAATGACATGTTTTACTATAATATAACAATTAATTACAATATTTTTTTTTTATTTTTTTTTGTAACATAATCATTTTTTTTAAATTCCTTTTATTTTGTAACATTTTATTTTTATTTTTTTTTGTATGCATGAATTCGAAAAAAACAATCCAAACAAAAATAGGAATCACATTTAGGACAAATCGTTGATACGCGAGAGGTTTTCTTTCTTGCTATCTGCGTTCCTGTATACAAAAATGTATTTATTTAATACAATAAAATATAACAATTATGTATAAGTATATTACCTTCTGTTCGAGAAATGTATTTGTAGCATTGATTACATCGACCTCTTTTTTTATTGTTTTCCAACTTATGTTCATCATATAATTCTGGAACTTCTGGAACACTGTTTGATTGCTGAATTAATCCATTAATAATGTCGTCTTTGAACTGGGTAATTGTCTTAGAATTTCCAGTGACTCCTTTATAAATACTAAAAGCATTCAATAATGATGTGTTGCAAATAATATCCATAGCAACTTTACGGTACCACTTCACGCCTCTTCTTAGACAGCTACTATAAGATCCCATTTGGTCAGTTAAATCGATGTATCCCTTACCACGGTTATAGTCGATAACAACTTTTGGTTTTATTTTAATTCCTCTTTTAGCCATGACTTCTTCCATCGTGTTTGAATGTTTTGTACTTATCATAAGAACATCTCTACGGTCTCTCCATTTTAGTACCATAATTTCGCGATCACTCTTTTTTGCAAATATTTCACCCCGGTTAAGTTTTTTTTGTGTTACATCTTTAGGATTTCTTTTTCTATTTGATCTAAGAGTTCCTACTAAGTGTGTTTTCTGTTGCAATAATTTTTCCGCTAAGTCAATGGAGTTATACCAATTATCTGCATACAATGTTCTACCGAAATCGAGATATGGTTCCATTAGTTCCATTACTACTTTACATGAAACTGAATCACCCATTGTCGCTTCTTTTCCTGCATATATTTTATATTTTGACGTATAAAAGTCCCGTGTACACAGCTTAAAGATTTTGACTCCATAACGATGACGTTTATTAGAAATATACTGCCGAAACGATAATCGACCCAAATAAGGGACCATAGACTCGTCGATACAAACTGACTCTTCAGGAATTACTGCACTATTGAACTTTTCGACGAGTAAATCAATCAATATTTGGATTTTGTATAATCTATCATTAGTAGGAGCTTTGTCATTATCAGAAATGTGTAACATACTCAAAATAATTTCAAACCTGTTTCGAGACATAAATTTTGGAATATTGCAAGAATATAATTTAGAATTTTTCCAATAGTGAGCAATTGATGGCAGTTTCATCATGCCCATCCACATAGCAATACCAAAAAAGAGTTTAATTTCCTGCTCATTTGTGTCGACCCATTTTCTAATTCTAGCATGTCGAGATAAGCCTGCTGTGTTTTTTTTAGCATTAGCATACCTGTTTGTTTCAACCACTAACATGTCAATAATTTCTTTGTCAAAAAAAAGATAAAAAAAGTCGATAGGACTGGCATCAGACATAGTTTCAATTATATCTGGATTTATTCCAGTAGTATTTACATCAGGATTAAAAATTATATGACTATTTAGCTGTCCATTAGAAAAATCGTTATTCCAATTATTACCAATCGTATTAGTAGTTACGTTACAATTATCCAATAATTCACGTTCGTAAATATTTTCGTCCGGTTCACTTTCCGAGGACCAGTTTGGATCAGCGTCAGTATCGTCGTAATCTTCCGAATATGAGTCCGAATTTGATTCCAGCATAGCTTCTATTTCTTGTCTATTCATTTTCGATTTCAATATTTTATAAATATACAAAATAAACAAAAGAATTTGAAATTGATACGAGGCAACAAAACGCAATGAAATACAACCGTCTACTAAGACAAATCCGTGTGTCCGTGTATAGTTTGTCGATAGCCCGTATACGACAAAATATAATCAGAAATAATAAACAAGATATAAAGGGAAAAACCTAAAGAATAATAAAATAATATCATGTCTAAATGAGCGATAAGATAATAGTTCCAAGACATGGACATTATGCGTACCATCTAGGAAGTACTTTACTAACATTTATTAGATTATTATTAGTCATGATGATTAAACTAATCGTGTACAGTTAATGGTGCACGTGGCTCTGCAGTATAAAATTAAGTGTAAGTTATAATGCAGAGCCGCGTGTACCATTTTTGGTACATGTTAAAATCATTAATTTTTTAGTATAAATAATTACATAATAACCATTCAAATACTAAAAGCATAAACTAAAAAGCTTATTTTATGATTATTGTGGTATAGCGTATTGGACAAACATTGTAATAAATTGTATTAATTGCTTGGCAATACAACAGTGTACCATATATGGTACACATGGCAGTTAACCTGTTAACTAAGTAATATTTCATAGTTGACTGTCTTCTAGACAAAGTTTTACAACGTGTTCTTTCAATCTCAACTACTTTAACCCTTTCAGTCCCGAATTATTTTTTTTATGAAAAAAAATTTTTTTTTGTGATTGTTGGATCATTTGGAGTATTTGTTATGTATATTAAAAATTTTTTGAATCTTGGACTTCTGGTTAATAAACTATAGTCATGGCATTGTACGAGGCCACTGGGCGTTAAGATAGTCAACATTTTGTCGTTTATTTTGGTACAAATCCACAGTTTTATGTATTATTAAATGGAAAAACAAATACAACTTAAATTATAATAATATTTATATTTATATTATATATAAATTGTTTAACAAAATAAATTTTAAAACCTTCATAAATATAATTTGAAAAAGAAAATCATTTAATAATTCTATAAAAACAACAAATTAAAATAAAGTCATATCTTTGACAGTAAAAATTAACATAACATTAAACTTCAGACATTAAAAATTAAAATAACATCATAAAACATAAATTAAAATAACTCCTTGGTCAGTAAAAATAAAATAAAAACAAGTTAAAAATACAAATCTGTAGGAACTTCATTTTCATTGTGGTATATGGTAAAACATTTGTTTCTTTTTGTGAAGCACAAGTGGACTTTACATTTTTTACAAAACACATGGCTGCGAAGCTTGCATCCTTCATACTTGCAACGGACTGCATTATCTAAGTTGTCAAAATCAGGAAGATGACCTACATTATCATGCCTCACTTCATTAAATGGTCGCTGGTCAATTCTTTTAATAATTCTTTTTTGCCTTTCTGGAGTCTGTGATGATGATGGCGATGGTGATAATGAAACTGGACTATTTCTTGGTCTTCCTCTTTTCCTTATAACAATATTTCCAACCAAAATAAGAGTTTCAGCTAATCGCTCTTTGAAATGCAGTAAATCCATAATATTTTTGTTAACAATATTCAAATGCTTACAATCCATTTTATATTCAAGCCAACTGTTTACACATGCCATATCAAAGGCATGTGTAACCATTCGTAAGGTCCATTTTCGAGATTTCATAAACGTTCTAAAGAAACTTATTAGTTGGTCATATTTGTCGACACCTCCCATTGATTGGTTATAAAGTTTCACTATTTCAGGCCTGTTTATGGAAATGTATCTTTTTTCTTTTTTGCAATATCTAGACACTTCATCTGGAGTGCCAGATGTTATAAAATTTGACCCTAATGAAACTGGCTTGTTATCATACCATTTAACTAGTCCAATGTTGCTGTTGGGTATATCAGAACTTACTTCAAATGTAGTCCCACGACCCATTTTAGATAATACTTTATCATTTAAAAATGGTGGACTAACAAATCTATTAACTCTGATAGTTCCTGCAGCAAAAATTTGTTTGTGTTGTAATGCATGAAGTAGGTTAAACGATGTAAAAAAATTATCCATGTATAAAAAATGTTTATTTTTTTCAAGCAGATCTGTAAGATGTAAAACAATAGCACCACCTAAACCATATTTTTTTTGTATATCTGGTTTTACTTCTGTAGTAGATCCCTGATATATTATAAAGTTATAAACTTGACCATTTTCAACGCATAACAAATACAATTTAATTCCCCATGGATTGGGTTTTCCTCGCATGTATTGCTTCACACTGAGTTTGCCTTTAAATGGAACCATTTGTTCATCAACACAAATATTTTGTTCAACAGGTAGTTCATTGCATCTCTTTTTCAATAGATCATAAAGTGGTCTAACTTTTATAAATCTGTCTATGTTATTTGTAGGAATGGTGTTATTGTCAATAACATGAAAACAAAATCGTAATTCAAAAAATCTATTACGTGTCATATTGTCAGCAATAGTATTGATTCTACTTTTTTGTTCCCAATACATACGTATCCGAGGAAAATTTAATACTCCCATGTATAAATGAATACCAACAAATATTTTAATTTCTTTTGAGTTAGTAGGTTTCCAATTCAATCTCCCTATTTGCTCAGCATAGGTATTAGTATAGTTGGCCATATTTTCATACTCACTTTCTGGGAAATATTTAAAAAAATATTCAAGTGGTGTAGGTATACTATTAGGATAGGTGTGCTCATTAGGTTTATTCAAAACAATATTTGGAGGAACAAAAGGCTGCCTTTTCCATCGAATATTGTGCTTTTCTATATATTCTAGACTAGAAGTGTTTGTTTCAATTGTTTCATTAGTAACTGTATTATTTGGTCCCTCAATTTCAGTAGTTCTATCAACAGTTATATTTCTCAGTGCTTGATTTTGTGGTTGACATTTGGGTTCAGTATTCACTGGCTACAATATGTAAACAATATAATTTACTTCCAGTAAAAACTTAATAATCTACTCTAACTAATAATATCACTTACAACAATTTCAGTTTCCTTATCATCAACATCTTCAACTAATAGTAAATTAATATCCTCATCATCAAAATTGTTCAATAAACAATCAAACTCTGTTGATTGAAAATATTCATCATCTTCATCAGATAAATCAGATAATTCTGAATTTGTACCATCTCCTAGTAGTTGGAGAATATGATCATCTGCTAAAATATTATGGGATGCCATTTCTAAAATTATAAAGTAATTTATATTCACTTGCAACTATGTAATATGAAATTATAAATTTTCTCAAACATACTAAATTATCATCAATAGGAAAACACAATTATAAACATATAAATCTAATGCTTATAATGAAATTAACAAAATAACTAATAAGTAAAACAATAACAAGTTAGTTTAACAAATTTATCAAATAACCTAAATTTAAATTAAACAAATAAAAATTTAAATACGAGAAGTATTATACTATTGTGTGATAATCACGATAACGGTGTTTCGAATATTTTGATACCACAAACGCCCAATGGCCTTCCCAGTGGCCAAACAATAAGCACATGTTGTGCACCGTTTGGCGGTTCAAAGTACATTTCGACTATTTGTCGTCAATCTTATACATGTTATCATGCAGGTTACAAAAAATTAGATTTTTATAACGACATTTGTGCGAATAATCAACAATATTCAAACTGATAACAATGAAATTCAAAATTTATAAAAACTTTTTTTTTTGGTACGATTAAGTCTTATAAAAACAATTTAAACATGAGTTTTTACATTTTCAAGTTGTTCTACACAACATTTTACCTATTATTCGCCAATAGAATCAATTTATGTACTTCATGGCCTTGTGGAAGGCCAATGGGACTGAAAGGGTTAATGAGTGAGGATAAATACTGTCGTTGGTTGTGTATATCACCAATATCCCAAAATGAATTAAATAATAGTTCACACTCCTCTTTAGAGAAATGTTGGTTACATTTTCTAGGACACAACTTACAATTTTTATACATACAAGTCCTTGCTTTTACATTTTTTCCTGCTACAGATACATATTCTTTGCCCAACTGTCTGTTTCTTTTGCGCAAATTTTGCTTCCATGTATCTGTATTTGGTTTACCTCTTTTAGCTCTTTTCCTTTTATTTGAAACTTCTGCAGTAATATTTTCTAAAGGAGGAAGAATGATAAACCCCATACCTTGTGATATGCTTTCAAATTCCAGATATATCATTTAAAACCACCAGCTCATTTGAGACAGTATTTACTTGGACCATACCTCAACAGATATTAAATACCTCAAAATAATATTAACATTTTGTATATATTTTATAATTATTTATAAATATAAAAAAGGGGCCTATACAGGTTACAGGTCAGATTATAGGAAGTGGATTATAATGGGAAATTAGGATTTATTGATAAATTTAATTCAAGTGTAAATAATTGATTGTGTTTTATAGAAAAATAAACTTTTATCTTAAGACTAAACTACTTTTTAAAATACCAATTATACCAATTTATGAGGAACCTTGTCTTACTTATTACATTTTAAATATTTATAATAATTAAATATACTAACCACTTGTTGATGGTGCAGAAGCTTCATTTTCTTCATTATCACTACAACTATTTAAGTCATTATTTAATTCTGGTAAATATTCTTCACCAGAATCATCATAATAATTGAAATCAGAATTTTCATCTGACTCTCTGCTTATGCCAGAATAATCTAAAAATATTAAAACATTATGGTTAGGTTAAAACTCTTAAATTACTATTAATTTACATTATAATAATATAATATATTATAATGATATTATAATGGTATACTATAATTTTAATATTTTTATACCTGGACTTTTAGTCTTCAAATTTAAATTGTTTTGTCTAGTGACTCTTTGCAAATTTGTTACACTTCCAATATTACTATGTTCACTATCATTAATTATAGGATTTATATCTGTAGTTTCTTAAAAAAATATATCATTAATTAAATAATTTCATTACCAATCAATAATAATAATAAATAATTACTTGATTTTGAATCTGTTGTGTTATTCACAATATTTTCAGCCATTTGTAGCATTTTTTTGACTCGAGATCCGATCGATGCCATGATTAATAACGTGCGAAATTTATTTTATTAATTACACACGACACACAGTAAAATAACAATATCACATAATATAATATAAATTAATATGTGATGATATAATATTATAGTCTGCATCATATCATAGTTTTAATATTGTTTATATTTTTATCTGTGCATATTATTTATAAATAGATTTGTAAACATTCACAATAACCATGTTAATATTGTAAAATGATAAATAAATAAATTATCATCATTGATAATATTATTCTCAGTGCTGCCATAACGTAATTACCAGAAATAAATATTAAATAAACGTAAGTGTCGTTACGTTCATATAATTCTAAGCAGAATGACATTACCGTAAAATATCTTAACATTAAAACGACGTAAAATGCAATAGCCTTGTTTAATATTTATACGTTTTAATAATTGTTGATACGTTTAATGAAAAAAAATTCAATCCCGTATCATTGGAGATACGTCGTTCTACTACTAATAAATACTAAAGCTAAATATTTTAAGCTAATTATCAAAATATCGCATTTTTGGTTGATACGTTCCTTCAATACTAGACCCTCGATATTTAAAATTCAAAATATTTATATTTTCTTTATTTGCTTAATGACCAATTTGCGAATACTGTCAAAGTTAAGATAATCTCATTTCAATAATTTTTATATTATTATATTTTGTTAACGTTAAATTGGTGCAGGTATAAATGGGGTTGGCCCGTCAACAAGTGAACAAAAAAAAATCATACGCTTAATACGTATTAATTTGTAATTTCATTTGTACGTTGTTGTTTGCAAGAAATATATTATTATTATTATTATTATTATTACAACAACATTCCGCTCTAACAGTAGTACAAATGTGCAAACTCCTCCAAAAGTTCCGTCAAACGAAGTCCCAGAAGATCATGCTCGGCAGCTCCCAAGGAAATCTTATGCTGCAGCGACCAAATCGGTTACCTCTTCCACGGATTCCATCTCAAATGTTTTATCTGAATTTATTTCCAATTTAAACTCTTTAATTACTCCACTAATTAATCTCCTTACGAAGGTCGTTAACAAGCGTATCTGTCCGTAGTGATTGGGTCTTGTTTTTATATTTCTCCTAATTATCTTTTCATTGTATATTTAACTATTTTATCTACATTTTAATTATCTATAATACTTAGTATTTATTATATACCTATATAATTTGTTATCTATCCATTGTATACTTTAATTTTTGTCTAACTATAACTTCATTAATTTATATACCATATGATATTGTAATTGTTGAGCCATAATAGTATTTGACTGAAGGCTAAAATAAAAAAAATAAAAAAAAATATTATTATTATTATTATTATTATTATTATTATTATTAATACGTATTAAAATATAAAATATTATTGAATATTATTAAATAAACATTGTCTTGTAGTGCCTTATTATGTTATAATTTTTATATTTGTGTAATTTTTGTATAAATGTCGTTGAATACACCTTTCAATCTTAATTCTACACTCTATTTTAAACACCAAATAAGTAGGTACCCGCTATAAAAATAATCTATTTTATTTTGGAGTCTGGCCTCATTACATAGTCCAAAGTTGAAAATATTTTGATGTATTGCTAATTTTAAATTTTGTAATTTGTGATTTTATTTTATTTTACTGTAACAATTTTGTGAAATTGTCATAGTTATATAGGTACTAGATTACTAGAGGAGGGTCCCAGATAGGTAACAAATGTATGTTCTAAGAATATTAATATAACATTTTGATAGCAATCTCAACATTTTGAATTAAGTTCAACAATATTATATTAATATTATATTATTTTTTTCGTAATTTGGTAAAAAGTAAAAACATAAAAAAAATTATTCTGCATAGATATACATTAAGTAATGCAAAACACTTAAGTTTTGCCTTAGTTGCATTGTTGCGCGTAGGCCAGAGAAAGAGAAAAAAAAAGTACGCAGGGCGCTGACATCCTCTTTATAATAGTTGCTAAAAAATTCTAATTTGTCACATTTTTCGTTAGCCATGAAATTCAAAGTTTTTACAAACCTTTATTGATCAGGCACTGAATATTTTTTGTATAAATAATAATTATGGTAATAGGTAAAAAAAATTTATATATATATAAATATAAATAAAATATTATATTTATATATATTTACATATTTTTACATTATCTCAATAATTCTATTTTTCCTTCATAGGTATTTATACAATTTTTATTATATATGAATGAACAAATGAAGAAGTCAACTTATCGACATTTTGTGACAATATCTCGTGTTTTTAAAAGTACATGTAGAAAATAATAAACCTACCTGGCTATCACCTAATAATCATGGAATCTAAATTATATAGTCGATATAGCCATATAGGTTAGATTATCAAGTTTTACGACCCAAACCAACAAAATTGTCAATAATATTATATTCGCGATAATGATATATTATAATATAATATTGTATTCATTAATCGTAAAAAAACCGCGCTCGAAGTAAGTATAGGAGGTTGTATTGCGGTAGGTCATTTTAGAGTTTAAACTGCTTAAATAATTAACCAAACATATTTGTTAAGTTTAAATCGTAGAGCATTTTGATTTGGTATCTGATATACCGTATCTCACTGAAATCAAGATCCAGAATAAGATTTAATTCTATGTAATAATCGTATTATTTAAACATTTTTTTTTACAAATATACATTTTACTACTTTTTGTATTCACTTAATTCTTTTACTTCGTGTTTTTCTATGTATACGTATTTATAAGAATTCAGTAATTTTTATGTTTAATTGTTATCTGGGGTAGGTACTGTTGTACCCGGTATAAATGTATAATCATTAAATCATATAATATATTGTACTTTGTTAGGAACTGGCGGGTATCAAGTATCAACGTTTTGATATGATTTATATCTCGAGTTAATATATCGCCACGAATAATATTGAGGTTAGACAGAGAGACCGCGTGCGGGCTTATCGCACTTTATGCAAGAGACATATTGTATTGTCATTTGTCGTCCTATACTCCTATGCACAGTGCCACAGTGTTATAAGTTATTACTTAATAATTATTATTTCTAATATTATGGCCCGCGTCCCGCACAACTACTCGTCTACCCATTTAAATTGTATCCAAGTTTATTTTCGGTGTTGGCTGGCGGGTGTTATATCGCCGATAACATCGTATCTGTAGTGCTGGGTGAACGGCTTATATTATAGGCAATACGTACAATCAAAAATATGCACTAAACCTAATATTTATATTTCTTACTACTGTTGTGTGCGTAATCTCAAAGGCTCCAAAAAGCCGTAAGCTTTAGAGACAAATCAAACAAGTACCAATTGAACTGTAGAATTACGTTTATTTAGCAGAAAATATAGTAAGTGTATAATAGCGTATTAGCGTATGTGCGTGTGACGAGAAATTGCTCAGGTCTCCGTGGCTATGATACATCTGTTCAGGCTGTCCCACGGGCTCCCTTATAAGTGATGGCGGCTCCTTTGATGTAGCTGCGCGTGCAGCTTGTATGTGTGCGTGTTTCGGTTGTTGTTGCCAATTCTTAGAATAGCGACTCATGTCCATGATTTCTAGTCGTGTACATATTCTATATTATATTATATACTATGTTATATACTATGTTATTATATAGCGAATAGTGGCGCCTAGAGTGTCAAGGCCCGCAACACTACTGTTTCATAACAATAATGAAATAGATTTATTTTTGAACCTCACTTTTAAGAATGTTTTTACAAGAAACCAGCAAAATAAAACATGTAAATGCATGCAACTACGATCAGTGAAAAAATAACGTACCAGCTGATATATTATACAATATACTTATATACATATATACTATATTATTATATATTGATCCTGCTTTAGATATTTTAATATTATATTAATTCCTTTAATAGGAAAATCGAAAGACATTATGAGTATGTACTACTCGTCTCTATAATAATATAATTTTAGTTGTCTCATGGTATAAAATAGATAGTATGAATTAAATTATTTAGAGAAATTAATTTTATTTCAATCCTTTGTATAATACGGACGATTTAAGATATACAGGTTGCCCATCGACTTATACCGAAACGATTAAAATTTGAAGATGAGATTGACTCACAGCTGTGGAAAAAGACGCTAGCGCCCTCTACTATCACAATTTAAATATCGAACTAATTATCACACTTAAATACTTAATAATTTGAAGTTATGGTATGGAATATTGGAATTATAGATTCTATTCCACGATTTAAGATATATATAAATTTATACTTTAAGTACTCATTACTTTGTTAGTTTGTAAAACGTATGGTATAATTGGTATTATTTCCATTTTCCACTACAGTTGAGATTTGAGACTTCATACAGTTCATAGGATATCATAAAACTATAAAAAAATATTTATTCAAATAGGAAAAATATAATAAAATGAAGTGCTGCGTTCCTTTTTGTAAAACACAATACAAAAGTAGTACTTTTGGTATACCCAAGGCTTCATTAGATTTGTGGGAAAATGCTCTATTTATGAAATTAAAAGCAAATTTTCGCATTTGCCAAAAGCATTTCAAGGAAGAGGATATTATTAGGACTTGGGTATCTGGTGCTGGACTTAATGAATATGTGGTATGTATATTAACCTAAGCCTTAAATTAAAAAATAACTTTGGTAGTTAATAAATAAACAGTAAATAGTAAATAATAAATAAATACTATAATGTAAATTAATTAATATTTTTACAATAAGATATGTTTGAAAAAAGCTAAACTACGAGATGGAACAATTCCCATGGCAATTTCTGTAGTGGAAAGCAGATTTAGTAGTTCATCAACACTAGACCTGGTATAATTTTTACTTTAGAATTATATTAGCGAATGTATCAATTTTTTTTACAAATATAAGTATAAAATTACTTCCTTATTTTAGAACCCCATTAACAGTAATACTGATGAAAGTGTAGCTAATGATTGTGACATGATGTCAGATTGTATAAATTTAACTCCAGTAGAAACTGATGATAATAAAGACACTACATCAGCTAATTAATCCAAAAAAAGAAAGGTTGATTATTATTTGATAGTTTAATTGCTTATGATAGTATTTTTTGTATAAAAATACATATTAATTGGTTTTATATTTAGATTTCTGAGTTAACATTTAATATACAACAAGATCACGGTTATTATAAAAAATCTATTGGTCACAGAACACAATAATAAGTCAGAACTATTTATGAACTGTTTAAATAATTTAAAATTAATTGAGTTGCCAGAAAAATGGTATTCCGATACTCAAAGCTAATCATGCCTTAGTTATGATGTGGCAAAGTCTTGGTGAAAATATGGTGCAACCGATAGCTGTTTTTGCTTCCCATGGTCCAATTAAAGGTTGTATAATAGCCATGATTAATAATAATACAGTACAATTTTAAAACAATACATTTCTATTCAGGTGCGGAATCTATATAACTTACATTATAATTTTTAATATACCTAATACTACTGTTATACTTGTACAGCTTGAAAGCAAACTTCAATAAATTCTTAAATGTTTGGAAAATAATATAAAATTGTAAAATTAAATTAGTAAAAAGCATAATTCTTTTGTAATTATTACAAAACTGAAAATAGAAAATTTTAAATTCAGCTGGCAACTGGCATCGACACGGTAGTTAACTTTTCTCTCACAGGGAGCGCTTATTGTAATTTCCAGCACCATGAAGAACTCAATTTGGTACTCACCTTATTATATGCCGATGGGCAACCTGTATATCTTAAATCGTGTTAATAGTTTAATACGTTATGACTAAGGGCCCGTATTACAATAGGAAGTTTAACCCGAGTCATGATTTAAGATAATACTGGTTAGACGATGAAATGTGATAAAGTCACCGTCAAACAGAATCTGTTATCTGGATCGTGTGTCAGAACTGGTTATGGGCGCTCCAAACGAGAACATTTTGTACTAATATAATTTATGTACAATAAATTATAAAATAAAATAAATAGGTACAGAAAAATTTGAAATCAGGTACTTGAGTCTTGAGTACTTCAACGAGAACCGTAGAACGGTTTAATAACACTTTAAAAAAATTACAAGTATAAAATATTTTAAAATTGTAAATCACAAATATTTAATTTGGTTTATTATTATAAATTTTATTGATCATCATAAAGTTTTAATTAGTTTAGACAACTTTTTTTTTGTTTTGTTTATTTTTTGATTTTTTTGATTTTCCATGTAGCTATATTGTCTCATACGCATTGTTATGTAATAAGTGAAAATATTTGTTAACATATCTGTTTTATGTTCAGAATTAGTACATGCAAATTTCAATCTTATATTGAGTTTAAAAAATGCATTAAAAGTGTCTTCAAATACATTGCTCAAATTTGCATGTATTGCAAAACAATTCTCAATATGTTTAATAATTATAAACAAATTGCTGTCAGGATAAGTAAGGTAACCTTTGGATTTTGCTCTAATCAAATCAGCTTCCTTACCAATACAGTCTTGTGAAGACTTGTTAAGCGTTTTTAATCCTCTTATACACATTTCACATTTAGTTTTATGAACTAAACGCTTAGCAATATACCTAGTACAAAACAAAAAATATATATAATAAGCAATTAAATAATTACCTACTTTTAAAATTAGTATAGTTTAAATTTTAATAATAAATTATAGCTACCCAGCCAAAAAATATACGATACAATTAAATACGGTAGAATCAGCATAATTGTGTTCTAATAGAACATCATCTAGGTCCCAACAATCTTCCTGTACAATCATATCTATTTTTTCTTTTAATTTGGTAATTTTAATTATTCTTTCAGAACTATTTGCTGGATCTTTAATAATCTCTTTTAAATCTGATAATGAAATAATAGGAATAGATTCTAGAGACATACAGACAACATTTTATTAACTGCTTTGTTTAAATATGTGTATTTATTTATAATACTTACCTTCATTTACTGCACAATTTCCTGTCTTAGGAGGTTTTAAAACTGAGTATATAGATAGCATACGGTACAGTTGGAGAAAGGTTGGTGTGGTCGGGTGATCATTTGGGCCTGCAATTTGTCTTGTTATTCCAAAAAATTTCTAAAAATCAAAATTATTATTTAATTAATTAAATGTTGATATTTTATTAAGTTTTAACACAATTTTTGTTTCAAATTATAATTACTTCCAAATTATCTTGATTGCACTTGGCTGTTGGAACATATGAAAATTCACATTTATCCAAAAGATATTCAACTAAGTCGATTGTTGACTGTTTAGTTATCCTAAGTCCTTCATAAGTCTGTCGTGTTAAAAAATATTTTTCTGGAATTAATCCTTGTGAAACATTAGTTTCCCATTCATCTAACCAGGCGCGGCGTTTAGGGGGGGGGGGGGCCATAGGGGCCATGGCCCCTCCCTAGACGGCTAGACATCAAACTACGTATAAAAAATAATTTTTTTCAGAAATCTGTATAGAAGTTCTAAGAATTATAATCACGGCCTCTGTAGGGTGTAAATAGTTTTGGTATCGCAGTAAGCGGTTGGTCACACTGAGTGACTGATGTCTGGCCATGTTATTGATAATATAATCTTGAATCTTATATCTTATATCTCTCATGATATCTCTACGCTTCGCGCTTATTCGCTAAACTATAATAATATTAAATATTGCATTGTCTAATTGTGTAATGTCTAGTGTAGTAGTGTGTACTGTGTATTAATGTTTGTACCGACTAGCGACTACTATTATGTCAATTGTCATTGTTTGATGCTTTGTTTCGCGCAGTTGTTTTTCCGGAGAAAAGTGTACAGTGTAGCAGTGTACACTAGTCGTTATTGTATTAATTATGTCGTTTTCTAAAAGGAAACAGAAATTCATTTTTCAATTTTTTCGAAAGAAATCAAATGTTCCACTTGATAACAATTCAGATGAAGAGGACACGCCGAGTGATGTATCTGAATCTAGTACGAAATCAAGTACGAACAACGATAGTATTTTGAAGTCAAGCTCAATTAGTTTAAGTAATGACATTGGACATTTTGTTGGTGATATTCAAATTCGAATCGATGATCACACAAAATTTCGGCTACTAAATTCATGGAAACCTGACCCATCATATAACTTTCCATATTCTATTCATATTAAAAATGGCATAGAGAGAAAACGATATTTAAGGTATAACCATTTTGAAAATTATTCTTGGCTTGTTTTTTCAGAAAAATATGCTGGTTTATTTTGCAAGTTTTGTGTTCTTTTTTTAGTTCACAAAAACGGTGGTAAACAAAAAAATGTACCTTTACAAAAACTTGTAACCAAACCTTTAAAAGAATTTGCAAAGTTATTAGGTAAAAATGGATGTTTAGAAACTCACAATAGTAATAAATATCATAAAGAAGCTTCTTTATGTTCATCTGATTTTTTAAAAACCTATATGGAACCCAGTAAAAATGTGGCTAATTTAGTTATCACTGAACGTATGAGACAATGCAAGGAAAACAGAGAACGCCTAAAGCCCATCATTCAATCAATAATTTTTCTGGGAAAACAGAATATTGCCTTGAGAGGGCATCGTGAAAACAATAATCTTACAAATACCACATCTCACTCTTCAACTATAAATCAGGGTAATTTTCTTGAACTATTAAAATTTAGAATATCTGCTGGAGATCAAACATTAGAAAATCATCTTAAAACCACTCATTCTAAGGCAACTTATTTATCACATTCTATTCAAGAAGAAATTATTCAATGTTGCCGTTATGAAATCATTTCTTTTATTTTGAAAGAAGTAAAAAATAGTAGATATTTTAGTATCATATTTGATGAAACAACAGATATTAGTAATATTTCACAGATGAGCCTTTCTCTTAGATATATTGATAGTAATCACAGAGTTCAAGAAAAATTTATCAATTTTCTTGATTGTCATGAATATGTGTATGGACAAGGTAAACGTAGAGCGATCATGTCAACTAATAACATTGACCATGAATCAGATGATAATTTATGTGATTTTGATCCCACTAAAAAACTAGAACCAAAACTATCTGGGGAAATATTAGGTGATACTGTAGTTTCTATATTAAAAGAAATGTCTATAGAACTTAATGACTGTGTAGGAATTGGCACTGACGGTTGTACGGTTATGACTTCAACAATACATGGAGCGGTTCAACAAATTAAAAAATCTGCAAACAACGCTATTCATAGTCCTTGTTCCAATCATTCACTGAACCTTTCCATATCTAAATCATCAAATGTGCAATCAGTGAGAAATAGTATGGGGATAATACAAGATATTATATCTTTTTTAATAAATCATCAAAAAGAGGGTTTATCTTAAAAAATACTCTTAAAGGACAAAATCGTACTTTAACAAGTCTTTGTGAAACGAGGTGGATCGAACGACATGATAGTGTAATTCAATTTCAAATATGTTTACCAGAAATCATTGAGTCCCTAGAGGCTATTTCTGAATGGAATGATCTTACTTCTTCAACCAAATCCAAAATACTATTGACTGCAATGTGTAATTGTGAATTTTTAATAACATTATATACACTCTCTAATATTTTAAGTGTAAGTTTACCAGCTAGCCGAGCTTTACAAGGTGTTGAACAGGATGTAGTTGCTGCATTTGATTGTATCAAATCTGTCATCAATAATCTTAGTGTAAAAAGAAAAAATTGTGAAGATGTATTTAAAGGTATATTTAAAGAAGCTAAAACTGTTATGGAGAAATTAGACATTGAGATAAAATTACCTAGAACTACAAACAAACAAAGAAATAGAGCTAATACACCTGCCGATTCTCCCGAACAATATTACTTGAGAACATTATTCATACCGCTAACTGAAAACATATTAGAAGATTTACGAGAACGATTTATTAATAAAAAAAATGAATCTTTATTTTTATTAATTCAACTTATACCACCCTACATCTTAAAATTATCAAATGAAACTTCAGAAACCATTATTGAAACAGTAATAAAAAACTATAACTATCATTTAAAAACAAATGCTGTCACTCTCAAAGGAGAAATTGAGTTGTGGAAAACCAAATGGCTTAGTTCAGACAAAAATACTGATGAAGGTATAACCATAACTTTGAACATATGATTGCAACATAGTATACACATTCATAATAATTTTATTTTTAGAATTTGAACCTCCAAAAACTGTATGGGCATCATTAGATAATTGTTCGCCAATAATATTTCCAACAATTCACAACATTCTACTGATATTAGGGACCCTGCCTGTAAGTGTTGCTACAGCTGAACGCAGCTTTTCCACTCTTCGCAGGTATAATTATTATTGCTTAGCTTGCAAATTAATTTTAATACTGCCTTTGCTTTTGCACATTAGATTAAAAACATGGTTGCGGTCACAAATGGGTCAAGATAGACTAGTAGGGCTAGCGCTACTTAATGTTCATAGAGAGTACAATATATCAGTAGAAAATATAATTAGTCGATTTGCATCAATGAAGAGAAGAAATTTAGATTTTGTATTGTAGAGTGTAGACTAATATAAATTTGTATAATATGTTAATTAACCATTTAAATTTTTTAATATAAAATATAATAATATTTATTTTACATTTTTACCTT